TTTTTTTGAAATAGTTATGTTCTCGTGTACTGACTGTTACTGGCAATGGGACATACCCTACCTATTCATTCATTCACGACCGGTGTTTTGGTGGTTTTCACAGATGGACGGCAGAAGTTCCTTGGAAATGCAAGTTTTCTTCTTTGATGGTCCACTACTCTTCCACTACTCACAACTCTCCTCTTGAATGCTTCGACAGGCCTTTCTCAGGCTCGACGGCCGAGTAAAGCTTCGATGGCCGAATCTCCCACCCCTGGTATAGCTGGTTTAGAAAGTATGACACCCGCTTAGTCCCTGAATGCAGGATGGCCCGCAGTGCCTTCACTTGTCTTCCGTATCATATGTGCGCAATCTTCATACTTGTGAGTTCTTAGTTCTTTCACCCCGCCGTTCTCCAACTTGCGGGAGACAGTCGAAAAGGTCCTCACTGGTAGCTGGTAGGTAGGTGCTTTGCACAAAGCCTCTCGAGGGTACATGGGGTGGAGTCCAAGTCTAAAGCCCATGTTTGGAGGTTTTGAGGCATCCAATGGTTTACCCCAGATCTCACCTGGCAATGTTTGACCTCAATTCACTTCAAATTGCTCCAATGGCAGGAGTATAGAGCAACCATATGGGGTTGTATTTTAATAGGGACACCGGTAACTAATGGGCTTTGGTCCATGATGATGGATTTTCAGGGGTCTTTTGGGGGTCTCCATAATATTCAAAATACACCTCCATGTGGTATGAGTCTCATAAGACATCTCAAAAAGCCGAAGCATCCCCCGCCTTGCTCCGCTCCGCTCACGAAGACTGCTGGACCGGGCGGGGTCCAAACCTGCCAGGCTTCAGCCCCCCCAAAGTGGATCCAAAGCAACACAGGTGGATCCCCCAATCAAATTGGACGCCCAAAATGATTTTTTCTTTTGGGGGGGGGAACTTCGCCAGCTTTGGACGCCATGTGGTGAATTGTTTGGGGGATGGACTTCGTCCACTGTCGGGGTGGGTTTTTCTCACCTAAATTCTGGAGGAACTTCACACCAAGATTCCGTGCAAACAAGGGAAATCATCGGAACTCTCGGTTGGAGGCCATGGATGGGTTTGAGATCTGGTGGAACAAGCAGTTCTGCACCGGATCAAGTGATGTGGTTAACATGTGGATCCACGTGTGCCATCCACTGGTGCTATCTGGGTGATAGCCGAGCAGATTCTTCACCGGATCAAGTGAACGATCCTTTCACCGGTCTCCACAAGCGTTCCGATCCCCAGAAGGAACAGGTTCTTCAGATCCCCATGGTTGCCGTCAGTAGCGCCAGCCGGTGCCACATGCCAGTGAGAGGATGTGAGAGGTACCTTTGACTCAAAGCAGCATCACACGCTCACCCAAAAAACTCCTCAAAACCTGCCCTGTTGAATCAGCTGATGCTCAAAATGTCTGCCCTCTTGAATCAGCATCACCAGCATCCAATCCACACCCATCCCACGCTCGGCGCGCAGTCGCCGCGCGCAACACCTGCGTGCGCCGCGCCGTGGCCAAGGACCGGAAGGAGTCGAAGCAAACCTGAGGCGGCGGAGGTCTCACACCAGTGGATGATCCACGTCAAAGCTCTCCAGCCAGGAGGGTGGTAAAGGCTTTTAGGCTGATGGCAATCCAACCATCTGTTGTCTCTAATAGCGGACTGTTTTTTAAAACCCGACTGTTACCGGTTGACTGGGACCTCCTCCCGTACACCAATCGTGGTCGGGCGTTTTGGGGAGGTTGGTGTTCTGCGTCAGTTCGTGGATTCCTCCGGTGGAAAACGGAACATGTGACCATCTTTCCAGTAAGTGTTCACATCTCGAAACCAAAACGACCAGTCATGTATAGTAGTTAGTTTGGTTCTTCCAGTTTGGTGATGTGCAAAAGTTTGTATGATTCTATGATCAACAACTTGGGGAGAACGAACACACCAACCAACTCGTGTGACATCCGCCAGACCTGCAGCAGGAGATCTGGAAAATCCGAAGTGTTCGCGACGCTGAAGAGGGGGGAGCCCCTCAGCTTTCGGACCCCCAAAACGGTTCCTAGATCCAGCCTCACTGAGTGGTAAAACGATAGTTTGTTGAGAGCTCACAATGTCCAAATCCAATGCTTTGAGGGTACCTGGGTCATCCTGGTACATTGAGGTTGCTACTGGTCAATTCTCCTAGTTCACGGTGAAGTGGTAAAAGGTACCTGAATAACTTTTACTTAAAAATACAAACAATCACTGAAGGTGACCACTAGGCCTACCGCTTCCTGGGTGATTGCCCATGTTGAACCAAACCATCAACCACCAGCCACCACCACCCAACACCCCCTGTCGTCACTACAAAATTCCTGCCACAATCATCCATCACATCCACCACATCCACCTCGCACAGCACCACCCATCCTCCCCCCCTACAAAAAATGACTTCAAAAACCCCGCTGCGATCCCCCCAAAAAGCCGCGCACTGTCTCAGACTTCGCACTGTCAACGAACAAAGAAAGACCGCACCGCACGGTCCACCGAGCGCCCAGTGGCGGTCCATCCCTCGTGGTTGAACTCCTCATGCCCCGTCGCCCAGGCCTCCCGGAAGCGACCCGCCGCTCCGCTCCGCTCCGGAAGCGCGGGCGGCTCCGAACTCGTGGTGCCAAAGAGAAACCTTTGTCTCTTTCTTCTTGCTCTGAAACCGTGATCTTCTTGCCAAAGTTCAAAAGAAAAGGAAGCATGTCTTCGCTCCCCAAAGATGCACATACATTCCCAACCGCTTCCAAAACCTCAACCGCCAACGACCCAAACCACCACCGACCCCACCCCCCGCGACCTCAACCGCCAACGACCAAGAGCGGTGCGCCGTCCGTCACGGGTGCCTTGATGCTGAAGATGTCTTTCCCTTGGTAACTGGAGCCATAGACCCGGGGATGGTCTCTCAGCGCCAGCTGCGACAAGGGGTAGAAGCCTCCGCGAGCGAGCGCGGAGCGCGGAGCGCCGGGCGCGGGCGCGTCGCTGTGGCTCGCTGCGTGCCAGGTGCGCTGGTGGTGGATCTTCTTGCAGGGCAGGTGTGGCAAGGCAGGTGCATGGGTGGAACTTCAAACAGCTTTGGGATGCTTGAGGGCATGGTAAGTAGAAGTTGGAGGGTACCAAAGCATCATCTTTCTTCACTGGACATGATGTGATTATTACCTCGTGTCCGATCCAGGGTAGCGGTGTAGACTCACGTCCACCATAAGTTGAGAAGTTTGTGTATCGTTTGGAGGCATTCAACTATAACTATAACTTGGCGTCGAGTTTATCCTATTACCTGTAACAGTGGATGATGATGATGATGATGATGATGATGATGATGATGGCTAGTAACGGCCTTTCTCTAAAATGGTGATTGTTTACTGACTGTTACAGGTAATGGGCAGACCCAAATTACAACTACATATAGGGGGCACATTGTGAACAAAGTTTGGGGTACATCCATTGGGCCAAGAGTTGGAGACGCCAACAGACGCCAACTGGGAGTGTGTTGGTCGAAATTGGTCAGCCTTGATGTTTTGGAGCATCCATCATCCTTGTGCCAGAAGCTCTGCAACTGTGGCGTGGTAGCTCTTTTCCGCCTTGCCAATTTCATCCAATGTCTCCATCTGCCAGAGAAGGTGCACTGCTACATGGTGGTGGTGCTACTCCCACCACAGAGTAGATGCGTAGATGAACACAGACCTATGACCTTTGTGATCGAGTACCAAAACCTACATGGTTTGTTCAGGTTCGGATGTCTGTGTGGATGTCAGGTGCTATGAATGACCTGCTTTGGTCTAAAACAGAATCGTACGCACCACCTTCTCGTCCATGGCGTGCAAATAGGCCTTCTTTATGGCACTCGAAAAGGAATCATCGCTCAAAGCCCAAAACTAGTGAAGGAGACTTCAACCTCCTGAGAATCCGGCAGGTAGTTGCCACCAGCCCGAAAGTTCTTCCATTGAGACATGACACTGAGTTCTTTGGCCTTCCATTCCACCAAGAGATCATGAAGTCGAAGGTCATTTGGCTGTGCAAGGAAGGACTTCGCAAGGGCCTGCACGGTTTGATCTGGAATGGAAGGGGCTGCGCCGGAGTTTTGTCAGACCGCCCATCCATGAAACTTGTCGCCATTTTGGTATGAAAACCTCACCATGGTCTGCGGCTAGATGGGAGGAAAGTCTGCCAGGACGGTTCATGATCCACAGCAAAACTATTGGCTCAGTTTTCCACGTGGATCCAAGTGGGGGTGAACACAGAGGCTTGTCAAAAAAATATCATTTTGGAAGGAACATTGGGTGGTCAAAAGATCCAAATGCTTGGAGCATACTCAGAAAGGCAGAAAAAACATCCCAACTTGCTATGGCCCCTTGGATGGTGGACCACCGGCACCCAGCCTCCATTTCCAAGAGGCAGCTTCTTATTAAAGCCGTTGACTCTGCTTCAACTCTGAAATATCCGCTTTTCAAAAATGTCTGTAGGTGTTCCATCGCAGCAGGATCCAGTGATGAATGGCAAACAATCAGCAAGGACTGCGCATACTCTGTGGCCGTTCGTGCATCTTCATGAATACAAAGACCCCACATATCCAGCGCACTTTGCAAGACTTGCAATGCCATCGTCGGACGCCCTGCCAAAAGATGTACTTTTGCTCGTGCGCGGAAGCAAATCAAGTTTGGTTCAATGTTATTTTGCATACACATTTCCCAAATACCCTCTGCCCTGTTCCAATCCTTCCGGGAGGATACACAGTCAAGCAAGCCTCCCAACACAACATAGTTCAGAACCGGTTGCTTTTTGAGAGAATCAGCTTCCAAGATTGCATCCACCTCTTCACAATGTTCGTACTGTTCAAGGAACTGGATGTAGGTGCTGTGCGTGATCTTGCTCTTTGGGAAAGCAATATCTTTTGATTGCTCCCAAACCTCACAACCCCAAGCGCAGGCTGCATCGGAGTTAATGTTGGTGGCCAGCTTTAGAGCACTGCTTAGGCCACAATTAAACTCATCTGGATTAGGTGGTGCCTCCGCTTCTCTTCCCAGCCGCTTGGCCAAGGTCAACGCAACTGCTGCCCGTGAGCCCACAATTCCGAAGGCTCCCCTCTTTCTCAAAGAGCCCGAAAGCGCAGTCAAGGCGATATTGTGCAAGGATGGTGTTAGCACCACCCCTTGCTCTTGCTGAATCGTGAGGAGTGAGGAGCTCGAGCAATTCATTCCACCAGCCCATGAAGCCACAAGTTTGCATGGCCGCCCCAACTACGCTGGGTTCCAGAATGCCATCAGAGATGGCCGCATGGATGATGTTCATCAGCTTCTGAGGACGTTTGCACCTTTAATCTGACAGTCGATGCTGATTTACAAAAAGGAAAAAAAGAGCACCTTTCAAAGCGAGTGCAGTTCTAAATAGGTGGTCACAAGCAAAAACTGAAGCAAATCCATGCAAATCCAAGATTCTGCTTAAGGCTGTGTCGCAATTTCCTGGCCTTGGCGCTGCCAGTCCTCCCTTGTGTTCCAGGTCGAGTTGGACTGTTGAGAAAGTTCACCGTTCTTTTCCGTCCAGTGGGTCGCTCGTGCGAAGGTCTTGAAAGCATGCACTTACGACGGCCAAAAGCGGCATGCTCAGGACGTGAATGACTTCCTGGGCGACGCAAGGAGCGGAATTCGGGACTGGGGGGGCTTTTCCCCGTCCGACTTGGTTTTCACTCAAACAAAATATCAGAAGTGCGAAAGCCATCTCTCATTTATGTGAAACCAGAACATCATAAACTTCATGACTTATCACGTATCCCGTGTGTACCGAAAGTCTCCGACTACACCAGAACCTGGCTACAAGTACAGTCAGCAATGCCAGTTGACTTGCTCATGTTCAACATCTTCCAAGCATTGCCTATTGCGTTCCAAGCTTCTCAAGAATACACCCAACACTCTCAGGACAAATCCAAGGCTTAACCATCCACTGCCGGATTGGCCCTTCAAAAGTCCAGCAACCATTCCAGCCACGTGGCTTGGTCGATGTGAAGAGTAGCTTGGCAGTACGTGTCGCGGGGTGGCACGGGCACGCCATCTCAGGCTGGGTTCTATGTCCATGGCCAGAAAGAGAGCGTCACTTTCTCAAGAAATCCAAGGAATCATTGAACATGCATGTTTGTATCCAAAACCATCAATTGGCATGGGAAGCGGCTTGCTGCTTCCTAAAACATCTGCCAACATCGAAAGAAACAACCCATTATTTGTCTGACGACGGCCGTCGTCTTCACGTCAGCTTGGCAGCTTGAGCCCAGCTATCAGCGCACAGAAAGAAACGCCAAAACGCCGCCCCAACAAGGGACACCCCGCGGTGTTTCACAGGACAAATCCCCCCGCAGTGTTTTGCGTGTTTTTGTAAGGAAAGACCGCCCACCTGCGCAGGCTTCCGCATGGTCGAAGTCCTCGCAGAGAGATCGGACGTGGATGCGATGCTTTTGGCCTGAACGATCAAGGATCCTCATTTTCAGGGACTGAAGTGGATAGAATGTCAGACGTGTCAGTTACCTCGAGCTGCCGCCGCAATGCCCTTTAAACAATGCCTCCATTCCATCCCTTCTAGGCCTTTTCTGCGCCCAGTCAGCTTGCACGCAACAAAACCAGTGCCGGCAGGACCACAACGGTCGTTTTGGGGCTTTCTCCTCGAGTTCCACCATGGCCACACAAAGCTGTTCGCCACAACCCAGCTGAGCCCAGCTCAGCCTTGGTGACGGTCAGCGACGTGTTTTGGTTCGCCACAGCCATCGGAGCTGAACATGCAACTGGAGAATGTTGGATGAGCAAACACCGGAAGATCTGTATTGTCCTTTCTGTCAGTCTTCTTGGGGAGTGACCACCCGATCTACAGGGCAGGATCAAAGCTTCTTGACCAACCAAATGAACGGTGGTCAAAATGAACGGTGGTCGAACCAAATTCTGTGACGTAGAACCCCTTTACCAACACCCGACTCATCTACCAGGTCTCCGAAATGGTGGCTGAAAAGTGGCAGGTGATAACCTGTGAAGTCGGGTGCTGGTATTAGGCCCATCCATGAAGAATTTGACTCATTTTACGAGTGATTGAACTCTCTTGCCAAACACAAAATCGAAGAATTTGACTCAGTGTATAAGGAGTCAGTTGAACAAGTTGTTTGTTCCTAGACCGAGACCTTCCTTCTCTCGCGACAAACAACAAGCACAGTACCACACGACCACTAGTACCACACTATGTTCTTCCTGCCACACTACCACAATAGTGGACCTGCCACCCCCCCGCCGGCCCGCATTGTTCTTCCAGCCCAGTTGCTGGCCCAAGCCAAAGTTGTCACACAAGATCACCGTGACCTCGTCGCCCCCAGCTCCCCGTTCCCTCCCGAACTCCGTGGCGCTCGGTGGCGTCGCTGGGAAAATCCGGGCGGATGCGGGGAGGAGGAGAAGGTGGGGTGTCAATGGACCTCACATGGTCAACCTACTCTCCTTTTTGGGGGGTGTTTCGTTTCAACCGATCTAATTATATACCCATCAAGAAACACCTAAAAGCATCTAGAAGTCATCTAAAAGCCATCTATGACCTCCTTTTTGATGGGAAGCTTGGCCATAGTTTGGGAATAGTTGATCCTCCAAAAGAGGGGTCACTCAGGTCCTATGTAACATCTACCCCATCATACCTCATCTACCAAAAGTGGAGGATCATCCAAAGTCCAAGGTTCACACCTCTGGGAAGCACACTTACGAGCTTTCTTGTGGCGTGTTGGTCCCTTTTTCAAGACCCAAGCCCACCTTCAGCCCATCATGGAAACACCGTCACACTGGCGGAATTCCTGGGGTGTTTCGGTCGCATCCGTGGAATTGAGCTTCGCCCACCAAACATCGAGTTCCCACAGTTACATCCTCACCTGCACCCAAAAACCAGGATGCCACCCGCAGCTCCCATCTCTCCCCATCTCTCCCACCTCCCCCACACCTCCAGCCCCACATCCGCTGAGAGATCCACGGGGGCCACGTGCAGGTTCTGCACACAAAGCTCACTGGAGCCATGAGGCGCTCGGCCTGGACCGGACGACCAGTGGACCCGGTTGACGATCGTCCGGTCCACTGGGGTTCGGGTCCGTGGCGAAAGCCAATCCGCTGGGCGCCAAAAGATCGCATGCACCAACATAAGATGCTCAAAGAAGCGTTACGAACGGGGCTCCTGGCATCGCGAACCGAACGGAGCCATCGGACGCGAACCGAACGGGGCTCTTGGCCTTACTACTAGGAGCATCCTTGCTACTAGGAACAAGAAGCTAGTAGAAACAAGAAGCTACTAGGAACAAGTGCATCGCTACTAGTAACAAGTGCCTTGCTAGTAGTAACAAGAAGCTATTGTGTTTTATTTGATGAAATGATGCAGCAATGGATTCACCAGTCGGATCTAGCGCCGGACAGATAACCGTGGACGAGCCAAGCTACGATGGCAGAAGGGTCGAAGGGATGGAGCTTGAAACCCTTGGGCCATGGCGGCCACGGCCATGGCCCATCCATTTTTAGGTCTTCCAAGAAACGACCCAAGATGGACTCCACAGATGGACTCACACTTTCCGGGATCTTCTTCGAAACGATCGGAGACATGATGCACATGGGTGCGATCGTTTCTCCAAAAGAAAGCACAATGGGCCCGCATCACACGTCCCAGTCTGGGCTGCGGAACCAGCTGTTCCCCAGGTTTCGATGCAGGTCGGGTTTGGTTGAAGCGACTGGGTCAAAAGCAGTGACATGCACAGTGATGCTTGCACAAGTGTATGCCTTCAGAAATCCGAAATCCCAGCCTTTGGAAAAAAAAAGAACAGAGACATCCGTTCGCCCTAGATTTCGTTGATGCCTTGCCGGATGTTCTCCACCCCATCGAAGCGGAGACCGACCGACCGGAGCCATGGACCGGTCACAAGGGCGGGACCTCGTTCGGAGGGGAGCTTGAAAAAGCTGTGGAGATGGGCGAATGGTCGCATGTCGGGTGAGACATCAAATACCTAATTAATGGCTTAAGAAGGCTTAAGAAGGCTTAAGCCCAGTGGTTGGCTCAGAGCCCAGGCTTCTGGTGCATCGTACCCAACTGCATGCCGCGTGTGTTAGCCGCTGGACTCGCCCAAATCCGATCCATTTGGACTTGGCCAGGCCACGAACTGGGTGGGGACTGGTCCCAGGGCCGGTCCTCTTCGGCCGGTCGCATCGGTGACCAATGTCTTCTCAAAATAGAATGGCCAGGCTCCAAAGCACACACTTGGAGTTCTACAGGCACCTCTTCCTATACTTGAAGTCAGCCAATAGCTCGGGGAAAAACACACCAAAAGCGTTCTTCATTCGGTGACGTCCGTGGCTGGCTCGCACAGCGCCTGCTTGGAAGATGTCCAGGAGCGTCATGGCAGGGCCAGGGTCAGGGCGCAGAAAAGAGGGTTGGCTGTGCTAATTGATGTGTTTTTTGACTTGGAAAACTGGGCGTTGTCCTTCTATCCAAGTCATAGAATGAGCTACATGCAACTACATGAAACCAGTGGAGCCTCTCAAAGAAACACCTGATTTCTGACAAGTGTTATGGTCTTTTTGAGTCTTTTTGATCCGGGCTTGGTCTTGTGGGGGGAGTGGTTGCTGTTCTTTAGTTCCCCAACCCCGCTGTTCTTGGCCTCGGCCTTTTGGCGGGCTTGTCACTGAGGGCGTGTCCCGTTCAGGGCGGCTTGGATGGCTTGGATGGGTTTATCTCGGGTGGGAGAGCTTTGGCTAAAAGAACTCTATAGGAATTCATTCTTTCCATGGCATAGCTGTGCAAATTCACCAACCACTCCACCTGATTCTCTGTTTATTTTTGAGAAAAGAGCCGGTTTAGGTAGCTGACATGAATACCCTGTCGAAGACGATGTTCTTCTACAATCCATGCAGTCGTTTTGCTAGAGTGAACCTCGTCACAAGCTGCTCCAAGCCCAACGTGGAGATGAATCTTGAGCCCAACAAAAACGCGGATCGTAGATGAATGTTGCAATTAAGCACCTGGAGTCATCATATCTTTATATAGAGACCTCCCAGGGCACTGGGTTTTCCTCTTAAAAGCACACCCCCATGGCTTTAGAAGTTTCCAAGAGTTTTATGGTTCATGGAGACCTCCTATGTTGATCAATCTTGATCCTTTCTTTGGGGTGATCGGTCCTTTTTGAGCTTCCACATACCGATCAAGAAGGGCCGCTTCGCCCGCCGACCGCAGGGGGGATTTCTTCGGCTGACCATCCCATCCATGTCCCGTTCGCGTGAAGGGACTCAAGGACGACGCCGTCGCATCCGAACATCACCGGCCGTCTTTTTCCACCTGAACCGTTTGGGTCCGCCCGTCGCGTTCGCCTTTGCGGCGGTGTGTCCTGCGCGGGAAGGCGGCGAGGGCACGGGACGGTCTCGGTGGCCTCCACCAGTGGCGAAGCCAACAAAGCGATCTGGCACATGTGGTCACTCGGACCCCCGACCTGGACATCCGACCTGAATCGTCCTGTGGAAGATTGTTTAACCAAGACCCTCTACAAAAGCCCCGTCCTACAAAGCTACACAGATCGGCAGTTGGGCCAACACCCCCACAGACTCCAAAAGAAAGATCACCTCTTGAAAGATCGTACTTCCTACGCGGGGTAACAAGAAGCTAGTAGTAACAAGATGTAACAAGTGCCACGCTACTAGTAACAGGTGCCTTACTAGTAACAAGAAGCTAGTCTTCACCTTTTGAAAGATCGTTCCTCCCTTTCCTCAATTGGAACATGGATCAGTCCCACAGACTTCGTGGATCGTGTCTTTTCGACGTCGAGCCTCCGACGAGCCCCGACCGACGGTCGGCCGCGAAGGGAGAGCGGAAAGAAATACATGGGGTCTGGGTCGAAAGCACCTAAACCCTACCAAGTTGCTTGACATCCCTTTGTGAATCGGTTGGTATTTCATGGTCAGGGGAGAACCAGGGTTTTACCGGGTTTTGACTCACCAACACCTCCGGTTTCCCGGCCGATCGGTTCACCCTCCGGGGAGCGAGTGGCGTGGCGCTCCTTTTCTCCGTGGATGGACCACGTCACCGGTGAAAAGCAGGTTGGGCCAAATCGGAGGACGCAACATGGACCGGCAACAAAAGCGGTCCTAGCCCGTTCTAGCCGGTACAGTCTAATCATGTCTAATCCCTTAGACAGTGGTTTTTCAACCATTCGAGGTTGCACCTCTCCATTTCACCCAGTTTCTGCAAAGTGCCACCCTGATCGATCAGATCAGTGATAGACACTCCGGTTCTCTTTCGCACGTAGAGTCCAACTCACCTTTGAATTCGGGCTTGGGTCAATTGTGTCAGTCCTTTAAGAACGACCAAGACCTGGGCCCTTTTGAGGAGTGGCCGAATCAGCTGAAGTTGACGTGAGAAGACTCATCACGCGGCGAACACCAAACGCCCAACGACGTTGGACCACCCCAGCAGCGAGTTGGACCTCACATGATACGCATGAACAAAAGCCTACAAAGGCCAGGAAAATGAGTTCGGACCCTCTTTCAGAGCTCCGTGGCCACAATGGGCTCAAGTTCGTCGCCCACGCGATGCAATGGTCCCTCTTTGGGCTCCTGCGCGGCTTGTAGCGGAACGGCCCGAGCTTTCGATTCGTCCGGTCGACCGAGCTTTCGATTCGAAGAGCCCGCCCAACAGGGCCCCGAAGAGTGGGACGCTGGCCTGGGTCGGATGCTGTGTGGAAGGTGAGTCGAGACTGCTGTGCGCTGTTCCACTCACGGTTACGGTAGAGGCGAAGACGCTTCGCTGGCCGAAGGAGCCCGGAATGGGCCTCTCTGTCCGTCGAAGCCAAGCGGTGCAACGATCCGACGCCTTTTTTCTCCCCCCATCTGCTTTCCTGCGATCCTGGCAGAGGTCCACCTCAAAACCAACCCCAAACACCCGGTCACCGCTCGACGCCCTGAAACCCGCCCATCACCCTGCGTCCTGGGCCACGGCGTCGAGCTGAGAACGATCCGAGGGCACCGGAGCGGAGGCATCCGTGGCGTCGTTCATCTGAGCGCGGAGCAGATCGCCGTTGGGTCCCAAGTTGGACACCGTTGGCCCGGCGAAGCGACGTCTTTCGGGAATGTCCGGAGAACGATGTGGAAGGATGTCGAAATTTGATGAAAAATGCATCAAAAAAGTTCAGAACGATGTGGCATTCTCCTAAGAATTGATCTAGTCGTCAACTGCTAAGCTGCTAAGTCCTTTTAAGAACTACAGTCTCGTTGAAAGAAAACCTATAGACCTTTAAAAAGACACGATTATATATAATGAGACCTAGAACCACCTATGAGACCTAAAACTCTGTGTGTCCTTCAGCTGTTTAGCTTAAGATGTCTTTCTTTCGTCTCATTGGAAGCATGGAGAGGACAACAACGGAACTTTGAACCAACTTGGAAGTGGTTTGCTTGGAGTTGGTCCAACTTTGTTTGCTTTGTTTAGCTCTGTATGGCTCTTAAGTGAAGCTGCGTAGATTATACGGTGAAGAAAGGCAGCACTGCGACAGGAAACCACACCGTTGGGGTACTCTCAGGGCTCCTAAACGGCGAGCACCTACTCATGCGACTTCTCCCACACCATGTTCGTCGTTGGGCAAGTGTTTCCTGGAGAACGACAGCAGTTCCAGCGCGCTTGATGGAATGCACAGGAACTCCTGCCACACTGAATGAAGAACTCGTGGAGTTCATCCAGGGCGACCTCTTTCAAATGCGTCGAATCGCCCCGAAGTCGAGCTGGAGTGTTTCACCCCTGACCGGCTCAACACGGGGCTCGTCCGAAAACGGCCTGGGTCGTGTCTGCTGAATCGCTCGTAGGAGGTGTGGCTGCTGCATTGACCACGGGCACCTCCCAAGGATGGCTTGGAGATCCCTGATGTTAGCTAGGCTGGATTGGGTCATCCATCGACCACGTAAACATGTTTGGGCTGATTCCATGTTCGACCCTCCAACAAACACCCCCAAAGTTCGCTTGAAGCGGTCTGAAGCGGTGCGGTTGCTGAAGTTTGTGGCGTTTCGGGAAGCATTGTTCATCCAAGATCAAATGTCGTCCGGTGGAAATACTCGGCACAACCCCGTGAGTAGTCAAATCGACGGGTCTGGTTGCTTCGAGCACGGTCAATGGAGCAGAAAAGGCAATGCCAAAGGACTTCCTATTTCCCTTGGTTGGCATTCGGAGCAGCGATTGCCTGGTTTCAATCAAAAGTTGTCTTTCGCTAACATATCTCCGGAAACAGAAATAGAATCATGGGGCTCGGGTAATTGACAAGTCTTGGCGGATTATCTGAAAAGATGTGCAGCAGCATGCAGGGTATCAACCACTGCGTGTCTGCGGGCAGGTGATGAAAGGGATTCTGAAGCTTCTTACTCCGGGTTTGCTCTCTTTGGCCGCGAATTTGAAGGGTTGACAAAGGAACAATTTCAATATGAAAGCCATGTTCACCTCCCTGAACTTCCAATAACTGCTACACAACAAGCACATCAAATGGAAGTTGATGGACTGGGAAAGGCTCTTTTGTGGAAACGTGGAGACAAGGCGTCAAGAGGACGCCGACGCTCGAACGTCCAACATGAAGGTTACTGGTTGCTGGATACCGTGACATACCCGGACGTGTTGCACTAGCACTGGCTCGGACTGCCCTGAGTGGTTCAGACTTGGGGACCCAAATCGGGGCGATCCGGTTCCTCGGCACCAACCCGAGCGGCTTCGTCCCTCCGCGTCACCTCCACATGCCCGGTCTTGTCGGCGTCAGATCGAATCCTCACGCAGCACGGCACAGATCGAATCCGCCGGGACTGTGCTGCGTCATTTCTTCGTCAAGGGATGGGAAGGGAGTTGGAAGTTGGCGCAGAGAGGGGCCTATCATCCCAACAAAAGTTCTGCACAATCCAGGAAGGAAGGAACTGAACGAACGGAACGGTTGCATCCTTTTTGGGTAAGAACAGGTGTCTCAATCTGTGGAATTCGAACTTGGGCAACTCAGCTCGTTTGGCGGAAGAAGACTCTGTGTTTCTAGCTGCCCAGCTGCAGGTGATTTGCCATCTGCTGAGGCGGTGATACCCCTGTGTTATTTGGTTGTTCACGAAAGAGTGGTGATTATGCATAATGCATACATCTATGGATATATGCATATGTTCTGTCTATAATACGATGTGTATATAGTCTTCCGCAAGGCAAAACCATCCAACGGCCCCACCGCACCGCTGGCGTGCGATCGACCCTTCGATCCTTTGGTGGGACGACACCGTCGACCGTTCCTTTTCGAACAAAACGAAAGAGTGAAGAGAAAGAGAAGTGAAGACTGAGTTTGCTTCGAATCCCCGGTTGTTGGAAGTAAACACGACTGCCTCACCGTAGTATTTTGTCCTCATGTTGCCAAGGCTCGAAGCCGCGGAATGCGCCACACGAGTTGCAAGGCCCGAGGACTTGTCGAGGACATCCTCGGTCGATTTCGGCACTCTTCGGAGGCAAATTTTCCAATATGGACACCTCTCAACCTCTATGGGACACCTCTGGCTCGGAGCCAGGGGCGGTTGATGGACACCTTGTAACTCTCCTCTTATAGAAGGGGCTATTGTTAGACACCCCGTGTTTCGGGGAGCCCTGGTAAAGATTGTCTTTTTTATTCAGTGATCTTCGCCTCACAGGAAGGCCTGGATTTGTTCTACATTCTCCCCCGCCCAAGCCAGCGCCCTCTCTGAATCGCGTCAAGGTGCCACGAAGACTGCGGAGATGGCCCCCTGCAAGGCCATCAAGTTGTAAATGTTCATTTTACCAAGATCCTCTGAAAGCTGATTCTCTTCGATTTTCATGAGCTCTTGGACACATTCTTTCCTCGGGCATTGGGCTTTGGTCGGGTGGTCATACAAAAAAAGCGATGGATTTGAAGCGACTGATGATGCCATGCAGCAGTGCAAGGTTGGCATATACACTTGACAAACACACAAACACACTCTGAAGATTTCGATATGTTCGTTCAGATGGAGATCCGTTTAGTGATGTGGACTCTTAATGCAGGTGTGATGGCCTGAGAATGCCTGAGATGCATCATTGGTGGAGATCAAACATGATCCAACTGAAACTGGGACATCCAACCGGACGAAACAAATTTTCGACCAAGCTGTATGCCAGAAGCATGGCTGTGGTTCATACAAAGTGAAACGAAGCACGGCTCAGCTGGGAAAGCCAATCATGATCAATCATGTTTTCAGAACAGTTCTCCAGTTCTCCCCACTTCAAGTCCCAAGGCTCAGTGCTGTGGCCACCTTGCCATGTACATGTCCAACTCGCGTGAGATTCAGCAAGTTTTCTCCTCCAAACAACGAGTGAATCTCGAGCCATCGGATGATCTCCGGACCGATTTGGGCGCACCGAAACCTGAAAAACATCGTCAGAATCGATGCCGTCAGAACCAAGGCCGTTCACCACAAACTGTTCCAACTGCTCAGCCAGCGAAGCGTCCCATCTGAAATCAATCTTCCTGAACTTGCTAAACACAACTGTGAGGGCCCACGAGGTGGGGATGCAAGGGGTGGAGTCGAATCTTCCCACATGACCCGAAGATCGGCAAAAAAAGCCCACACGCCTATGCCAAAGCGGCGTCCAAAGATCAGCGCTATAAGGCATAGAGCTCCCATCAAACTCAAGATTGCAATGATCAGCACCACGATCCTGGGAATCTTCCGCTGCCGACTCAGGTCGATCGACAGCGCGAGAGACGCGATGGGGAGATGGGAAGGACGAGGAGTTGATGGACAGAAACTGGGAGTCATATTGGTGCTGGGAGTCATAACTTGAGTCAGTTGGAGTGAGCAATTGAGAAAATGACGAAGATGGATGAAGAAACTAGACGGTGTGGCCCACGTCAACGACACTAGGAGTTTTTGGACCCGTCGGGTCGCAGAAGAAACTGTATAGCACAGACTGCGCAGAAGATAGGCGCGGCACGGCTCCAGGACGTGGCATGGCACCTCCAGGACTGCGCACTTGGCGTAAGAATTCCGGTTCGATCTGACATGCCTTGGGACAGCGAAAAAACGCTAAAACCACCGGAAATGCGGGTTACAGAGTCATGCCCAGCGCCCTCAGCGCCGAACAACAGTTTCGCTTCACCGGTTCAAGATCAGAGGGTCGCGCGAGAACAAGCGAGAACACACAAAGAGTCGTAACACATGATGTTGACGAAGGTGGTGATAAGGAAGATGAAGGTGGTAGCTGTTCTTTAAAGCGAGCCCTTGGCAGGCACTTTTGGGAAAATGCAACGACCTGTGATGAGAGCAAATGCCGAAAGCCATTACGACCAGAAGGCAGATCAAGAGCACATCGCGCCAAAAATATCCAGCATGTGTCTTGCATTCCTGAAAAAAAAAAAAAACATTTGCAAAACCATTTGATCACTTCATTGTTGCATAGAATGTCATGCTTGGGAATTTTCACAATCTGCGTTTGTTGCATGTTGCAGTTTGTCTCGAATCAACCCACACGTCTGCCTGCTACAGTAGATGCTAGCTACTACAAGTAACGTGTAGCATGGCCAACAAGGGGCGAAGACGCAGCGACGTACGCACTGTGACGGATGGACTGTTCGGACTTGGGTTCGATGTGGGAACGACCGAATCTTATGTCCATTTCTCCCCCGACCTGTTCCCTTGGCCCTTCGAAAAACTCCACCTCTCCACTCCAAGGATCACCGCGGAGAAATCGTCGGCAAACTGGAGGTCCACAGGGCTGTTCGGATGCACTGCTTGATTGATCAACAAAAGGAGTGCATTGCCTTAACTTCGGGAAAAGGTTGAGTGATTGATTGAATCTCAGTTGCTCCGTGTCTATGCAAAAACACAAAATCACCAGACGCGAAATCGCCCGGCCGCGATGTGGTCGAAACAGTGTCACAGTCGCTTTGCAGTGGTTGATCCAACACTGAATGGATCCCCTTTCTTCATTAAAAGGTTTTCGTCGCACCCCTTCTCGTTAAAAGAATGTACGGAAAATTTTTCAGGACTGACGTTTGGGTGTTTTACCCAGAACGTTGTTTTTTTACCCAGAACCGGGTCCTGCCCAGGACACAGGATCGTTAGAGATTGCCCCCAGGTCACACCAAAAACACACAAAAAAAATGTAAACAAAAAAGAACAATTGGGCATGAATTTGCTGAAGTATATTACGGCATACCATGGCTGAAGGCCCCTAGAGCTTGGCGGTTGGTGAAAAACACCAAAGAAAAATGCCCAGTTGCACAAGGCGATGTCTCCAACGTTGATGATTGGGGCCTTCCAAGGTCGTGTGAGAGTCAAGACGAAGAGATATATAGAGGTGAGGATGCTCGCAATGGCCACTTGCCTTGGAACGAGTTGTCTTCCCGAATAGGTTTCCTGGCAAATTTGGAATCAAACAGGTGGAAAAGCCATAACCAAGCCATACCAAGCCGCAATTGCGGGGACTCAGTCGCGAGAACAATGGCTAAGCTGAAGCCCAAGCCGCGGACCAGCCTCGGCAACGCAAGATCCGGCACTCCCCACAAAAGGTCATGAGGTCATGGGGGTTCAGGGTCAAGATGACAACAAATTATTTGCTTGGTGAAGTTGCACCCAAGCAAAGGCTGCGCAGGTAAGATTGACATGTCGGCTTTGAAGAAACAGTTACAAATGCTTGAATGGCTACTCTGCGCTTGATTGAACCCGTGGGCAGCCTGGGCAGCTCGACCTTTTCACCACGCGCATGTCCCCTGCACGCTTGGGCCACATCGGGCCACCGCGGTCAAACACTATGGTCGAACGTGATTTCATCCTGCAATGTGAGAACATGTAGACGCGCTCGCTTTTTGTCATGAGATACATACGTACCTAATAAAAAAAGGCCCCTATTGTTTTAGTAGGTTTTCGTAGGGAAAAGGAAGACCCTTCGATCTGGAGGCGTTTTGAATTTTTGATATGAGTTTAATGAAGGAGTTTATATAAAACTTTCCTGGGTTGCTTTTTGGTTTTGTTTCTTCAAAGCCGACACGTCGATGCGTCTGTTCAATCTGGACCTGTCAACCTTCACCACCACATCTCGGGCCAATCAGCTGCCATGCCTGCCGCCATGGAGCAAGAACAGGCCGAACCACCAAACGTCCAAACGGAACTGTAGAGCTGCATGCCCCACCCTATCTCTGGAGTAGAGGCCGCAGGAAGGCTCAGCTAGCCTTCCAAGCCATGGCGTCGCGCGCAACGACGAAGCCAGGGCGAAACGAGGGGGCCTCCAAATAGGTGGCCAAACAAATTCGGAACTGCCAAATCCATGAAAGGAAAACGGTGCATCTTGTGGATCTGTACGGAAGCTGCGAGGACCGCAGGGAAAACCAAGCAAGACAAACGAATGAGAAAGCGAATTTCAGGTGAGACGTCCAGAAGCGCAGGCTGCCGGGAAAGACCTGCATTCTTCAATTTTTATTCAGTGCCTTTGTAACGGCCCGCGCGAATCTCCGGCCCCACAAGAGACAACAACAAGAAGTAGCGAGGCACATCCATCCACCGGGCTCTTGTAAGAGTATCTTTCTGGCCTACAAGCCGAAAACGAATTCGACTCTGTGAGACATCTGAGAAAGCAAGTGACCGGCAAACACCTGCATCTTTGGTGTCATTTTGAGTGCTCTGTTTCTGGCCCGCCTTGCACGCCGGCTTCTCAAAAAGGAAAAGCAACCAAAGTTCAGAAAGCACTTCCATCCATCGGGCTCTTCTAGGATTCTCTTCAAAGTCAGTCAGGCCAGTGGAAAAAAACCCACTAGCCACATCCAATCTGTACGTTCTGGTCATCTTCACACCAGACATTGCAGGAACTATACAAAAGAGCAGCCACCTCACTCGGCCAAGCCGCAGCAGGCGACGCGTCGAACTTGGCGAGAGCGTCCCAGCGCTGGCAGCAGCACTGCAGGGACTGCGGCCGGCGTGTCACAGGGAAAGCCTTGCGCGCGCCTCCCCGCAGATATACCAATCCTTGGCTCAAACGCACACGGGACATCCGATTACGGATCTCCGCAACTCGAATGGCCCCCATCTGGGCCAGAAACCTTAGTGACTCTTGCACCGTGAGCGTATAACTCCAACCCAGTCGACGACCGACGGCACAACGAGGTGGGGGGAGGGTTCGGAGGGAAGCATATCGAGGGCAATGCCACAGGACATGCTCAACTGTGGGACACTCGTTTCGGCCTGACAATCAGGGCAGATCAAAGTTCCATCGTCCGCGACTTCTTCCTCATGCCCACTTTGTACTAGCAGCAGTACGCATCCCCCCCGTAGCGGCAGCCAACTCGTGGGGGTCAGTCAGCCTTTTTCGAAGCTGGGAGATTTTGTCCATCCAAGCATCGGTCACGCGCTCAGCGAAACTGCAACCGCGGGCCACCGCCGCGTCGCGACGCCGACTCTGGAACCAAGAAGCGAACAACTCCTTACGCCAACTCTGACGTAAGCGATGCATAGCCTTAGACCTCTCAGCTTTACTCATGTGAATGGCGAACAAGTGATCAGGGGGTGCAGTCCAAGTTCCCCAAACAAAAGGGTTCCAATCCCACTTTGCAAGCCACTTATTCACACGCCGCATCACCGGCGCCAAGTTGCGTTCCACATCTCGCCTTTGCAGCGCAGAGGGCCGCCAGAAGAGATGCCATCTTGCAAGCGCGTTCAGCCAACGAGTAGTGACAACAAAGGCCAAGTCAGAGCCATGACCCAGTTGAAACAGCTGCCTCAAATGAGGAGAAGAACGACCCTGCACGTGCCACCGAGTCTCCTCACCCAAGTCATCACGATTGTCCACACCATACACAGCAATCCGGAAATTGCGCACATGACGCGCCCGTGCCGCATGAAAGGCCTCCACATTCCGCAGGTCCTTTCCCCACGCAGCTGTGCTAGTGAGCAAACTATGAGCCAATCGTACCCGTAAATGAGAGGCAATGGGAAGCTGAGCAATTTTCAGAGCCAGACAGCGGCCCTTCTCCTCTCGGGCCAGATACTTGGGATGTTCATGCGGTCTGTGACCCACAACGTATCCCAAAACCTCAACAGCAGTCTCGACAGGAAAAGGACAAGCATTATTCTGTAAAACGTCCCCGGCTTCGTTGTTCCGGCCCCAACATTGAGTTTTCAAGTGGTTGGTTTTCAAGCGAGTCACGCTTTCAATCAGGGCCCAATCGTTGTTAGCCGCGACCAACTGCTCCAAGGAGGGAGCGGCCAAAGTCCTGTCGTCCAAGTACACGGCGCAGCCAACTTGCGGAAACAGTCGAGCACAACGCTTGGCCGGAGCAGCTAAGAGCAGCGCCAGCGTCACAGGCGAAAAAGGGTCGCCCTGAGGCAGGGACGGCATGCCCCACCCTATCTCTGGAGTAGAGGCCGCAGGAAAGCTCAGCTAGCCTTCCAAGCCATGGCGACGCGCGCAACGACGAAGCCAGGGCGAAACGAGGGGGCCTCCAAATAGGTGGCCAAACAAATTCGGAACTGCCAAATCCACGAAAGGAAAACGGTGCATCTTGTGGATCTGTACGGAAGCTGCGAGGACCGCAGGGAAAACCACATCATTGGATGCCAGATCAAACGGAACTGGATCATTGGATGCCCCAACCTAACACCGGGTTAGGGGCAAAAAGAGATCTGCACGAGCCATGGCGAAGCAGCACGGTCGCGCAGGGGCCGAGGGAGCCTCCAAATAGGTGGCTAAATTAGAAAGATAAACAGAAAAACCACAAACTTTGCACTGCCACGAAACCTGCAACTCAACAGGCGTCAAAGCTAAACACAATTTGGGAGCGCATCAAGGCTCCAGATGAAAACGACTTGAAACGAATTCCCAGGCACAAAAACCTAATTCAGACCGTGGAAAATCTGTGAGACCTACGATGTCCACTCTTTTCTTTTAGGCCTTTTGAAGTGCCCCATTTCTCACAAATCTGACGAGGCCTCCCCAAGGCACTTTTGTTTTCTTGACATCCGATAGAAGTGTCAGCCCTTTCTGGACCAAAGGCGAAGTCACTCAAATGCCACAAGCTGCCATCGCCAGCCGCCACTGCCGCAGCCGCCCGCGCAGGAACAGCTGCACCAGAGCAAGTGCCACTGCAAGAGCCATCTGCTTCCGCCTTAGATACTGCAACCTTAGTCACACAAGAGACCTCAGCAGGCCAAGGGTGGACAAGACCGCCTCCTCGCAGCGATCGGATCGTATTTTGCGCACGGGCCCGACTCATCCGATTGGCTGCTTCAGCCGCGCGCGTCTGGCCCATTTGGGCAAGAAGTGCAAGGGAATCCTTAATAGTGACATTTGGGCCCCACCCCAGACGGCGCACTAAAGGACAAGCAGGAGCCGACAAGCGGCGGAGACTGTCATAAGAAGGAAAATGCCAAAGGACATGTTCGACGGTGGGGTGGAAAGCCTGAGCACAATCAGGACAAACCAACGCGCCGGCCTCTGTGATTTCCTCATCGTTGCCAGCCCAACGCGTGCTGGCAGCTGTATGCATACCGCCCATCATGACTGCATGAGCACGCACATCATTGCAAGCTTTAAAGGTGCTACGAAGTCGGTCAACAAGAGAGTCATCAATCTGATCCCTTAAATTTATTTGACGACCGATGTCAGCATCCCGTCGGTTGAGCGCAAGCCACTTGTGAAGCAGGGTGTTTCGCCAGCTTTGACGCAAGTGATATTTGGCCTTAGCTCGCTCATCCTTCTGGGAGAAAATGGAGAAAGTGTGACCTTCAGGAGCAGTCTGCCACCCCCACTCCGTCAAATTGTCATTCAGCAGCTGGACCGACCGCTGCAAGTGAATCTGGGCCTGTCGTTGGGCTTCCTGGCAATGGGATCTAAAGTTATACCGTCGGGACAAAGCCATCGTGAAACGGGTGACCACCACGAGACAAAGGTCAGAGCAATGACCCAAAAAAAATGTTTGAGGAGCGGGCTGGCTCTCTCTGACGGGGAACATGGGAGGGATCTGGAAATGGTGACTGAGCCGCCAGTTGGCGAGGTGCGCCTTAGCAGCTTCTGATAAAAACCTAGGATCAAGGCTCTGGCCCCAAGCGGCGGAGCTGGGGAGGAGGGCTGTGGCAATCTTTCTTTCCTGCCGGGAGTAAAGCAAGGCGCGCAGCAATCTTCGCATTCTTAGCCCGGCGCACAGCAATTTTGGGGTGGTCTTCAGGGTTTAACCCAACCACGTAGCCTAAGATTTCAGCCGCAGAGACCACGGGGAAACCAGGATCATGTTCTTGCAGCCAACGAGCCGCACTCGAGGATCTTGCCCAGCACTGGGTTTTGGAAGGGCTTGTCCTGAGTCTAGTAACAGTACTGAGAATTTCCCATTCTTGATAAACGTCACGAAGCGTTTTGGAGATCGGGGGCCAGGAGCGCGCGATCGTCGAGGTAGACAACACAAGCAACTTGTGGGGAAAGCCTTTCGACCCGTTTGGTAGGCGCCGTGACGAATCGCCCTGGGGGAGCGAGGGCACGTTGCGGAGGCAAT